CTGCTGTTGTTGTCGCTTTCTGAAGCGGTTCTGGAAGCCCTCTTTTGTGAATGTCTTAAAGAGGTGTGATCAAAACTATGTTGAGGGCTGGCGAGATGGCTCAGTGGTCTGAAGCACCTACTTGGAACAAGCTTGGCAAAGCACAGGGACTGCGGTTCGATCCCCCAGCACCACATGCCAGCCAGTCCCGCCCCCTGGTGTGCTGAGCTGGCCACACACACACACACACACACACACACACACACACACTAAAAAAAAATATGTTGAATGCCACAGCCAAGTGACACTGAGTGTTGCCCAGTAGAAAGGCAGGCGCATAAAAATATATAGCACATTCTAATTCCCTGGGTCTGGGACCCTTGACTTCTGTCTCTTTCCCAAAGTCAAAATAAACAGGAAAAGGCAAAACATTTCAATTGGTTCAGCATTTGTGGGCAGTTAAAAACAGGCAACTAAAGACATGAAAGAAGATTCCAGAACTGCTTTAGAAAAGGTGAGAAGGATAGGAGAGGTGCATTTAAGGCAAGGAAGAGTATTTTGAGGGGGATTAATGGCAGCATATCTTTTGCTGTCATTAATCTCAAACATTTTAAACATTCACTGTATTTTTCAATCATACCATACAATTTCTATCAAAAACTTAAATTTTAAGACTGTATGTGTTTATAATTGTCAGATACATGTTTTTGGGGTTTTTTTTCATATTAGAGATTAAACCAAGGGCTTTGGGCATGTTGGGCAAATATTCTACTACTGAATTGCATCTCCAGTCATGTAATTTACTTATTTACTTAAAAAATGGCTTTTGGTCACAGAGTCTCACTAGATAGTCCAGGCTGGCCTCAACTCCCAAGGTAGTTCAGCTGGTCTCAGATTACAGATGTCCTCCTTTGCTAGCTTCCCAGTGCTGGGATTCCAGGTGTGTGCTACCATGCCCTGCTTGCTTAAGATTTTGAGACAGGGTCTCACCGATATTACAGGCATGTGTTGCCGTACCCAGCATACTTGCCATATTTTAAATTTTATGTAAATTTTATATAAGTACTGCGCACTAACCGATTGCGCCACTGGAACTTCTAAATTTTATGTAAATTTAAAAACAAAACATTCTTATGACTTTTTACAGGCAGCTGTCTATAAGCTGAGTGTGAAAAGCATGCAAAAGAAAAATAATAGCCGCTGTAGTAGACTCCTAGGCATTGAAGGCAGCGTCCTAGAAATTTAGTATTGTGTAGAAGTCGCAGAAGTATTTGTTACAGATGTAGGTTCCCAGACGTTACCCAGAAACTCTGATGCAGCAGGTCTGAGCTGGGGCTGGTGAACCCCAACAGAGTTCGCTGCAGGTGAATAGCCATGCCTTCTAAATGGTCAGAGGCTCTGAATCTACACAGCTGGCAGGCTGGTGCAGAAGGCTGAAGACAAAGGTGAGGTCCACACTGAGACAGAATTTGGAGTCCTTTATCCTTGGTGCAGACAGGAATATTAGGAGAGGATGGAGAGAAAGAAGGGGGATGGGCTGAGGGGGGAAAGCTGACACAGAGGCAGGCAAAGGTGAGGAACAGTCTACCAGGGAGCGAGCAGATGACCGGGAGGGTAAAGAACGGTGAGTACCATGGCCACAGAAACCAAAGGCAAGGCATTAGCAAGGAAGCAGTGCTCAGAGGAGCAAATGAAACAGAGCGGCCAGGTAGCCGTGGCCAAAGGTCTCCTCTTTCTATGCTGTCCAGTGTAGGCATACAGCATGTCCTGGAAAACAGGGCTACTTGTCGGAGATGCTCTGGGCACCTGCCATGTTGTAAAGAGCCAGCATCTGGTGAACTCAGTTCTGTTGACAAGTGCCTCAGCTACTCTTCTCCCTTTGCTGGGACAAATACCTGGCACCCAAAATGAAGGAAAGGTTTATTCAACTCACAGTCACTGGAGGTTTCAGTCCATACTTGCTTGGCTTTGAGGCAGAGTGGCACAGGGCAGAGAGCATCCGTTCATGGTGGTGGCAAAGAGCAAGAGGAGCCCAAGGAGTAGCAGCAACAGCAGCAAAAGAGAGGAAGTCTGTCTCTCTATCTCTCTTAAATTGCCTTCAGGCTCTCCGCCCCAGGCTGGGGGAAGTACTCACACCCATAATCCCAGCAGTACTAAAACCCATAATCCTAGTCTTGGATCTCCCACAATCCTAGTGGATCATGAGTTAATTCCAAACTCTAGAAGTCCCTGCCCTATGACTGCATGAGGCTTTGGGGGCACAACTAGACACAAACCATAACAACAAGGATATTTGTTGCAGAGGAATTTTGGAGCTCAGCCATGATTTGGTTCCATCAAGTACCCTAATTAGGATGGGCCAATGTATGAGGCAACAAGGGTACAGCCACCCATCACGGAGATTTAATGGTAACCAAATCAGCAAGGCATTGACTTGGAGCCATCCGCCAAGATATGGCAAAAACCTCTAAAACAATGCCAAAGCTTGGTGTGTGATAGTACCCTGGAATTTTGCCAGAAATTTCTCAAAATTAAGCAAAGCCCTGTAGATCGTCAAATCGGAACTCTGAGAGTGATTTTCCCCCAAATTCTCTTTGCTAATCGTTTATGAACACACATGGTCATGAGGTGAACGGAGCACATGGAGGGAGCTAAGGGGCTCTCCAAGAGCACCCATGTGTTGGTTGTCATGACAACTGCTGCATTTTATTGAATAGAGAGAAAAAAAATCAATGAGGAATGGGGGGAAGAACTTGCACAGGAACATAAAACTTGCCGTCTCACGATTTCGGGACCTTTCCACATCTGTAGAGGGCGTGGAGGGGGCTGTTTTGAGAGGCAGCCGGAGGAGTCCCAAGGAAAGCCACACTGTCCCTGTGTGCCCACCCTTCTCATGTCTCTGCCTTGACCTGGTCTTCTCCATCCCAAAGCAGCTTCCTGGAGTGGTAGAAATGCAGCCCCTTCCCTAGATCTTTTGTACGGATGACTGACTGGTTCTTGGTTCTGATCTATTTTCTTTAAGCCAGACAGGTTTTAGGTTTATTTTAGAGACAGCCTGCATCTGTGTGGCAGTTTCTCTTCCCAGGTGACATACATTTGTCCAGGGGAGAAAATACAGGGAGGGAAGGCCTGAGGAAGCCATCTCTCGAGGCTCATGTGGGGTCCATTTCTCTCTTGTCTTGGAGACCTATTATTCACCATTCCTACTTGACTGAGAATACTCAGAGAGCCTTCCCAGCTTTTCAATTCTTCCTAAAACATTGTTCAATGGAAAGAATGGGGAGAGACCCTACTGTGAGAACAGTTGTGAGTTGTGGGGCATTTTCTTTGTAGGGGGACAGTTTTCACTTCAATGGGCTCCTGAATCTCACGAGGAGGTGGGAAAGCTCTCAGAGTGAGCTATGCGCAGGATGGGGGCTGACTCACTGAGAGGACTCTATTTCTCTATCCAAAAGGCAACCACAGCAAGCTGAGCTTGCTCCCTGCAAATGTAGCTCATCATTGTTCAGTTCCCTGATTCCATCTGACACAGAAGAGCGTAGAAAATAGACGTCTGGTAAAAAGGTCTCAAGTTAATCAGTCATCACTTACTCCTTTGCCCTGAAACTCTACCTTACCCGCTCTAGCATTTTGCTCTTTAGATACAATATTTGTGTTTGAAATGGCCTTGCTGAGCCAGTGAGATAGCGCAGCGACTAAAGCGCCTGCTTAGGTAAGCACAGGGACCAGAGTTCAATCCCCAGCACCACATGCCATGCCAGGCCCACCCCCAGGGTGGGCTGAGTCAGCCACAGAGTCCATGCATAGTGGTGCACGCCTGTAATCCCAGGGCTGGGGAGGCTGAAAGCAGGAGGATCACCATGAGCCCAAGCTGCATAGTGAGATCCTGCAACAACTAAGTACATAAAAGAAAAAAGGAGGCCGGCCAGATAGCTCAGCAGTTTAAAGCACCTGCTTAGGCAGAGTGCAGTCGCGGAGGTTCAATACCTAGCATGCCATGCCAGCCCTACCCCTGGGGCACGCTGAGACAGCAATTGAAACTAGGCATGGTGGTGCACACCTGTAATCCCAGCATTTGGGAGGCTGAACACGGGAGAATCACTACGAGTCTGATCTAGGTAGTGAGACCCTATAGACCCTGTACTAAACACATTTTTAAAAAGAAAGAAAAGAAATGGCCTTCCTATTCCTAAAGTTCTCCTATATTATCTCATTTGATGTTATGTATAAGCGCTTGGTTAGGTAGGCAGCGGTTCGACTAATTATTTTTCAGTAATGGGGATTGAACCCAGGGCCTTCACTCATTAACCTACATCCTCTGCTCTTTGTGTGTGTGTGTGTGTGTGTGTGTGTGTGTGTGTTACAGTATCCTGCCAACATATTAACTGGTTTAGGCTAGGCTTGCATGTATAATCCTCCTGCTTTTTTTTTTTTTTTTTTTTTTTCTTTTTCTTATGCATTTGGTATAGAGTCTCACTATACAGCTTGCACTCATAGTGATCCTCCTGTTTTTTTTTTTTTGCGGAACCAGAGATTGAACTCAGGCTCTTGTGCTTGTCAGGGAAGCGCTTATTCCACTGAGCCACCTCCCCAGCCCCCAAAGGAGATTGATTCTTAAAAGGTTTGTACCAGTAACACAGCTGACCAAGGATGTCCTGAACCAAAATCGTGGATGTGACCTATTTAGTGCTATTAATATCCTTTAGCAGACGCTTAAAAGCAAAAATAATTACACAATAAAAAAGTGCTCACTGAGTGCAAAATAAGGTGCATGAAGAAAAGAAAAACCTGAAGGAGTAACACAAGCCATGTTTCTCATGGAGCAAGGGTTTGAATACTTTGTGCTGACTGCAACATTGTGGAAACGCTTTTGCTCCTGTAATTGTGTTTGAATTAAACCAATGCCACAGCACATGGGAAGGAGCCCACCGACTGCTTATACAGGATGAGCTGAGTTTTACTGCTGGACCCTGATGGTGCTACAAACAATTCCCAAATTCTTTCATTAATTTGTTTCTTACCAAGCTGTTCTCCTAAGTGTTGGCCTCTCTCGGTTGAGATGACCCGCTCGTCTTCCATGTCACATTTGTTCCCAACCAGGATAACCTGGGCATTATCCCAAGAGTACGTTTTGATTTGTGTTGACCTAAAAGAAAAACAAGCACAAAACGATCAGAGGAGAGCGGAGCAGCCTAAAACGAAGGAGGAGGAACATATTCCACAGATGACAAGGTTAGCAAAGAAATGGAGTCCAAATGCCTGACATTTAAAATTAATTAGCTGAGTACAATTCTGCCCTTCAGATTCTCACCAGGGATTCCAAGAGTCAAAAATCGAAGCAGTGGGCTGGGGTGCAGCTCAGTGGCAGAACACGTGCTTAGCCTGTGCAAGGCTGGAGGTTTAATCCCCAAGCATTGCTAAAAATAATCAAGTCATCAGAAGCAGGGTGCCACGGATTACTTGGTAAGATTAGTGCTCCACACTTATTCCTTTCCCTGTTCTTCTTTTACCCTGTGTACTACAGTGCCTTTAAAAGAACCACTGTTTTGCAATGGCTGTGCTCCCAAATTAACAGGAAAAGCCCCAGGTCTCGAGAGACCTCGTCCAGGAAAGCTGAGACGGTTGGTCCTCATGGACAGCCCGTCACACAGAGCCTCAGCCTTCCTAATCACAGCAACCCAAGAAGGCTAAAAGGGCTCATGAAATCTGGAGCCAGTGATAATCTTTACAAAGGGATAGTATGAACTAATATATCCTGGATAGGCCTTCTAATTCTAGGAGGAAGGTACAGGGCAATTAATATCAAAATAAGAATATAAGCTCTGGCACTTGAAATTGCAACAAACAGGATATCTGGAATTAATTAATGAGTTAATTAATTCTCCAGCATGAATCCTGACAAACAGCTTTTGATTGTGGAACTTACAGTTTTCAGGCTGGGGAGATAGCTCAGTGGTCTAGCGCCTGCCTGGCAAACACAAGGTCCCGAGTTTGATTCCCAGTACCGCAACCTGTACCTGTCCCGACACCAGGTGTGGTGGTACATGCCAGTAATCTCAGAGCTGGGGAGGCTGAGACAGGAGGGTCCTATGAGCTTGAACTTCATAGTGAGACCCAGCACCAAAAAGAATAAAATAAATAAATAAGAATTTAAAAAATAATTATACCTATCATGTGGAAGTATTGTCCTAAATGCTAACATTTCCCATTTGAGGAAAACAAGGCTCAGGGGTTTTAGCACTTTGAAACCCACCAACACAAACCTGGTCCTCACCCCAGGCAACACCATCCTCAAGACTGTGCCTGAAACATGTTTCCATCGTGTTCTGAAGAGCTCGAGGACTTAAGTTCTAATGTTCTGCTGTCACCAGAGAGGGAGGCAGGTTCTTTAATCTTCCCTTTCTATTATGTGAGGACAAGAGTCTTAGGTATGCAGGAGATACGTACTGCCCATCACGGTCAGGAGAAAGAGATTGGGATGTTGAAGAGCTAAACAAATGAGTAAAGTTTGAAGAAACAGATTTGGAAAGTATCCAAAGGAGAAACCTGGGAATGATCTAACAGCGCCAAATTCTTTAGGATTATTAAATGGAAAATAGAGACAAGCTGTTTGCACTTGAAGAGGGAATAAAAAGCCAGCAGTTAAACTCCAGCTGGAGTGCTTTCAGCAAGATGTGGTCACTGTGTCTCCCTCCTGAGGAGACAGGCAAGAGCTAAGAGGTAGATAAGATCTCACCCAGAATTCCCTTCAATCAATCTGAAGCTTTCAAAGGACATGAACGCAATCTAGATTTCACCAGGACATGACGGAGGCCCAGCAGGTTTCATCAAGAAAATCTGGGGGATATGATATTTCTGATACCCAAGTTAATAATACCATTTTCCTTTGGGCTTGGCAGTCTCCATGGGCTGGAGAAATAAAGACAGAAATTCTAGTTTTTCCTCACCACATCTTAGATGTGGAACATATGAAAAATAGTGAATTCATAGTGCATTAAAGTATAAAAATGTGGACATGCAGAAACACTAAATCTCAAATGCTAACATAGTTTTACAAAGAAAGCCTTGTTCCTTTTGGAAGATCTGAAATTGATTGAACTTCCTTATATAATTAAACAAAAAACTCCTTTTATTCTGGTAGGACTTATAAACCAAAAGCCAGCCAATGCTTAGAAAGCCCTTGTCCTTATGTCAATGAAAGCCCTTGTCCTTATGTCTAATGCTGACAGCACTGCTGGAAATCAGAAAACCAGGATGAGATTAGTGACACAAGGCTCAAAGGAGCATATCAATCACAGTTGTTCAGAGAAGGAGCTGGGGCCAAGGTGGAAGTAACAAGGGTTCCTGAGTTTCCTTTATGGAGGACCATCTGGGTGACTCTCCTCAGAAGAGGTGCCATTGTCTCCATTTTGGCTGAGCCTGACCTTATTTCCATGTATTGATATGTACAGAGTTGACGAGGACTTTGGCTCATCCCTCAATTGGCTTTAAGCAATGTGTGTCGGTCTAGCCAAGGTGCTGGTGGTAGCCTTCAAGGATGGCAGGCGTGTTTCCCTGGAATCTCCACCTACTGCTCTCTAGTATGAGCTGAGAGTAGACAGGATGAAGAGTCAATGCTCCATACCCCATACTGTGGGTCTCGAGATAGAGGCTACACATCAGAGCTGGAGCACCGACCCCAAAACATTAGATACTATCTCAGTTGCGTAATGTAGATTACTTTCTGCACACCCTTCTCTCTGCATATTGCAGAGGTGAATGCAGGCCTCTTACCTAGCCCAGCTCACAGGGCTCGCCTGCTTCCTGCCATGTTGCATGTCTAAATGCCTCCATTCTTCTCACACATAACTTGACCTACGGGTGCTTAGGCTGCTACCATAGACTTCCCATTAGTGTACGTATACCAAATATTCTCTCATAGGTGAAAACAAGAAAACAAGATACTTCCCTGGCCAATGAGGTTATCCACATCATCCTTCTTACAAAGTTTTAACGTAGCATCCTTGTATGTTCTGATTTGTTAAGAAAATAACCAAAAAGTGAATATTTTCTACAACTACCATGGAATTATAAAGAATCATTGTTGTGAAAGCTTAGCGGGACAATGGAAATCCTTTGGATTTTACTGAAATCCAAACCATAGTTTGGGACATTTGTGTTGAGACGAACAAAAAACTGATTTGCCTTTAGACTCGAACTGATTTTACAATTGAAATCATGGTTATAAAGGCTGATTATTTGGTTTTCATTTTGTCTGCTCTGGGCTTCCCGATGTTTTCCATCAGCTGAGTGGGAAAGGTAGCTTTCAACACAGCAGGACAGGATGAGAACCGCATAATCTGAGATGTCACACACTATAGAGTAAAAATGATTTCACAACAATCAAGAATAAAAAAAGATATAAAAATCCCTGTCATTGCATCATAATAATACTTCTGCTCAAAACATTTGTTAGCTACTTTCATTCTTGTTGCTTTAGTGTTTCTTTCATGTATTCTGAGGGATTTAACATGTTTTGCCTTTAGTTTCTTTGCCTATTGAAATATATCATCAAGTCAGCCCTATGTCAATAATAAATGCTAACACAATTTATCTGCAGGTGAGTGTTTTCAATTCTGAGGTCATACAGAGCACTTTGTTTTGGAAGAAAATATGAAGTTACAGTCATTACTCTAAAATGAGTATTGATATCCGCATTCAACCCACTAACATCAATTTTGTATATTTTTTTGACATTTAAAGTAACTTTCTGCTCACATACCAACAACTGCGTCTTTCCACCAAGATGACCTCAACAGCAATACCTTCGGCCAGGTTAGCAAACATGCAGAAAACGGCATCTAAATTTGCTCCTTCTGAATAACAATAAGAACAAGCCATTTATAGTAAGACATATCCCCGGGCCAGGAAATACTATAAAAAGAAAAAGGTTACATCTTCCATTTTGCAAGGTACTCTTGCTCTGTTTTGTATTCCTCTTATGGAAATTTACATTGAAACAGCAGCTTAGATTATTCCAGAAAAAAACTTGTATAAACTACATGAGTTGAGAAAAACACTCAGAGTTGCAGACATTTTTTATGCCCGTTTAACCGACATTGTACCACGAATTTAGGTCAGAAGAAAGCAAAGGAGAACCTGCTTCCTAGCCCTCCCAATAGGGAAGGCTGTGCGCCTGACCGTCAGCATTTCACTTACAGAATGGGGCTAGTTTGCCCTTACTCTGTGGATATTTTGGGACAAAAATAATTTTAGGTAGTCCCACGCTATACCTTTTTTTTTTTTAATTCTTTTCAAGAATCAAACTCAGGACCTTGTGCTTGTCAGGCAGGTGCTGTGCCACTGAGCTACATCCCACACTATACTTTTTAACTTGCAGACAACTCTTTATAAAGAGAACACATTTTTAGTCCCATCTTGGGCAGCCAGTTGTTCTTCCCAAGTCCAACTCAACTTGGTTTTTCTAATTCCTGTCATCTAAATGAATCAAGTGCTTTCATTAAAGAGTCTCAAATTCCGTTTCTCACTTGTAGCCTCAGACTCTGGTCCTACATTAGTAACTTTCAGGGTGCTGAGGATGGAACCCACAGGTTGGGCACACTAAGCATACACTTTACCATGAAGAGGCACCTGTCCTTGCATAAGCAAAGTTTTAAGTGTGGATAGCCTTCCTCTGTCATATCTGTTAGAACTATGGCACTTTGGTAGGGTATGTCTTTTTTTTTCCTGCAATATTTATATGTATTTACTCTTTTTAGCCATTTGCTATATTTCATACATTTTCTTATTTGGAAATGAGTTTCCAGTTACCTCACTGGAATGTCTGTCTGCATGGTTGCTTTGTTGGGGAGAGATACATACTTAAAGAGACTGGCTGTCCCCATATAGTCTGCATGTGAAAAGATGGTTTATTTCAGAATGGCTGTACATGAACCTTGGGGATTTGCTGTTAATTTCAACAAGATTAATAGAAGCTACCCATATGCAAGTCACCATGGTGACTCTTCAAATTGCAGTTAACTCAGACCTTACCAGTACCACATGATAGTTGCTAAAACACTCGTTATTTAATTTCCACTAAACTCAGACCAAACAAACCACACGAAATACTCCAGGGCCCTTCATTTTTATATGTAATTTTAAAAG